ATGCGGTGTATACGCAAATAGTTGCATGCAAAGTAGCAATAAATCGTTAGTAGTTACGGTCGCGGGGCCTTAAATGATTATTGCGAATGATAATTGAAAAGTGATAGAGGAACATGCATGTGAAATGCGCGATTTTATTGGGCTTACACACAAACATGAATAGACAGTCGTTGCTGCTGCTACCGCCGCCGAGCCCAAATCGAGTGGAAAGTCACATACACACAAACACACTCAGTGACTGTGGCCAGTCACACAGAAAGATCATGAAAAATGGCAAAAACCGCAAAATTGAAACACCGAGATAAGAAGTCACGAAATATGAAAAATTACTCATCAAATGTGTGTAAAATGAACAATTAATAGCGTGTTTTGGTGTCATGTTAGCACGCGACATGCATTATTCAGCATCGGACCCAAAATGGAAAATCGACTCGCATTTTGGCTGCTTATCAGCGACTTAATTCAATTGCTTCCACGATGAATGCTTTAATCGGTTGATTTCTTTTTCTCGATGCTCGAGTCCAGTTTTCCGGCCATCCAATCAGCCAGCCCAGCCGAATGAAGTGCTCTCCTCGAACTAAACTGAATACATTAGCTCTCGATTGCCATAGACGACTATCAAGTGCTACAGCATTAGAATGTTTAGCATTTTCAGTGGCTGATAAATGATGACTCGACGAATTTTACCTATTTTTGAGTAACACATTTGATACCTTTTCTACTCTCTGGACTCATACTCTCTACCCGTCTCACTGGCATGTTCGTGTGTGTGTGTGTTTTTCGGTTCGCAGCATAAAATCCGATATAATCTGCATGGTCATGCAAATGTTGTATGGGGCCGCATGAATGCCTTTATATTTTGAATGGCAAATGCAAAGCCTGAATAAATGGCTGACAATCAGGAAAAAACATCGATAATAAATCAATTGTGGGAAAGTAAATGCTGGGCCCCAAACTCGGCTTCTATTTTCTCTGTCTCACATGAACATACTTTCAATATTTGCTCGCAACGATATTTGTTTAGCTGAATAATTAATATGATGAGACCGTCACTGTTCCTATTGCTGCTGCCGCCACCGTTGTCGCAGCCAACCACAAGAAAATAGTATTGCATGACAACTTTATGTCGCATCGAAAAATGATAATAGAATAATTGTTTCTCGCTTGTATAAGACACCACCATATCGCAAATGATTTTTACAGCCCAATGTTTCATTGATAACGCACGCTTGCGCGCACGCACACACGTCTCGCTTTACCTATTTTAATATTTGCCCATTCGATCAGAGTCGTCGCCGCCGCCGATAGACGATAGTCTCTCGGATCGCTTCTGTGAATTGAAACCATCGGTTTTCAATGATTGTAATGAGCGTTTTTCGGATTGTCGGATTCGGTTCGTTTCGAGAGAAACAGAAAAAACAACATGTTTTATTTATAGTCTGCTCACGCTTTTTGGTGGTGTATTTGTCGGTGGAGTGGCTTTGGCTTTAGCTTTGACGGTTTAATACTCAATTTCGAAAATGAATTCGAACACGTTTTTATTATTATTTATTGAAAATATCGCATCGTCATATTTTTAGTAGACGAGGGAAAAAAACGAAGCTGAGAAGAGCGAGAGTGTGAGTCGCAATAAGCACACACAGAGCAAAAAGCAATGAGCCAAAGTACGAAAAAGCAAATAACCAAGTCGACAGCTACAAATAACCACCAATGACGTGGTGCGGTGGCAATTTTAAATTGATGGAAGTACAAAAATATCAAAGGAAAATGAAGAATTGTTGGGAGTGTGCTCTGCTCGATTCATTTCTGTTGTATGTGTGTGTGTGTGAGTTGCTCTTTTTTTTCATTTCTTCTCTCGTTTGGTTTGGGTTTCGGTTTGCATTAGCCTCGGAATTTTTTGCTGTGCCTGTCATTTTACCTGCAGAAATGCAGAGACCCAGATGAGCGAGAGAAAGAGAAGAAGAAGTAGAATATTGAGTGAATCGTGGAAAAAAAGGGCAGACGATGGAAGCTAAAAATATGTGTGTAGCTAACGATGCTTCTCTCGTTCGCATATGTGCTCTCGATGCACAACACAATTTAAAGACTTTGTGTGTGCCGTTCGTTGAGGTTGCATTTTTTGTGCCCTTGCTCGGTGTTTTTATTTTCAGTCTCTGTTGTTGTTGTTTTTGTTATTTTATGAATTCGGTGAAGATTGTACCGGACCAGAGTAGAGACTCGGTAATGTGCTTGGTTTGCGAGATCTCTGCATTTGCACACAGGAGTGAGCGAGCCGAATGAGTGAGATAGAGCAAGATTTGATTTTATGATTATATCCGATGCTGATTTTTCTTTTGTCAGACAGGCCTTTTGTTTCTAATTGCAGAACTCGCTGTGAAAAATCCAGTTAGATAATGATCTTGATTCTGTTGCACAAATGAACATCAAAAAACCTGGATAGTAGTTTGCTACTTGATAGACAATTCACGGTATGCGAATGCGGATATCTCTCTCTCGGGTTTGAACGCAGCAGGGCAAGCGAAGCAAAAAAAAACAACAAGATACCAACAGTAATGTGCTCGAGATCATTCTCGGGTAGCCATAAAATGCTCACGAATTTGTTCGGTTTTCGATTTGAGCGTTTGATTTTATCGAAATTCAGTACTTTGCAAAGTAATTTTTTCCATCTTTGTTCCGCTGTTGCTGCGGTTGTTGTTGTTGTTCTCTGTTTTTTCTCTCTATTATTTGCCAATTTTTCGAGTATTCCGCACCCGCTGAGCCATTTTCATTCTTTATCACCTTTCGATCCATTTGTGAAACTTGCTCTTGCCATCTCTTTTGTCTAAATGGAATTTATGTCTAGAGATATATGCGCGCTGGTCTCACCATTGATTAAATGGCTTTAATTTGTTTATCGCAAATAAAAATCAAAACGAAGCATGAAAATAACAATAAAAAGATGATCTACACCGGAGCAACAGATAAAACCATAAAAATATATGTCCAGAAGCAGCAGCGACGGACAAAATCCACGATTAAGATTTATTTATCAGGTTGTTGTTTTTTTCGTTGGTCGAAGTTGTGTTGCCGTTGTTGTCGTTGTCTGTTCGGTGAATGTGAGCACATGAATATTTATACTTTTTTACGTGTAAATTTTATGGGCCGATATATTTATATTTTTTTTTTGGCTATGACGAAAAATTGTTTCGTGGTGTGAGCGATAAATTAAGCAACATCGGAATCCATAAAATGATTGGGATCACACTAAAAAAAATAGAGCGAGAGACGTTGTGAAAGAAGCGATACCATACCACATATTTCAAATGGATGGCAATGACGCAGTGCATGATTTCTGATAAGCGGCACGCATTTCGTCGATTTGCTGGAATGTTTTGTTGGAACAAGGAATATACATGTTTTTTTTTGTTAAAGACCACCTAAACATCCTGTGTAAAGGCACAAATGTGATTCAATCCAGAACGTACTAGTGATTTAGTCGAAAGGCGTTCGGGCACATTCATGGGCACGTTCTGGAATCAGGACACGTCCAAGGAAAATTCTTTAGTTGCAAACGTTATCAAGATAATAGACGTATTCGACATTATTTTTGCTCACAAAAGACACATTTTCGACGAGTGTGTGTTTCAACTTTGCCGCCACACAATGCGTCGTCAGCCAAAGAGATAAAATGTAGAAACAAAAAAATTCGTTTTTACGAAGCGTCCACCTTTCGGCATTGATGCCGATCATCCGTTTGGATGTGTGGGGGAAAAGAGAAAAATAAAGAACACGCCAGCTCAAGATTAGATTTTCCGCTCATGGATATGGGACTTTGCGTATTTTTTGTAATTATTGAGTACGAAATTCGATGTTGTTGCACATCATTACGCACATGCACATACAAACACACACATATATATAACAAACGCACTGCGTGCGCCTCTTATCGTCCATTCGAACCACCGACCCGCAACACACAGAAAATGCCGCAGAAAATTAAACAAAACTAGAATAATATTCTCTCTTTCGGTGTCTTTTTATGAAATTGATTTATTTCCCATTTGCTCGTTTCGGTTTATTGATGTTTGAAAGAGCACTACTCGAACGAAGACGAATGAGAAGAGATACGAATCGTTGACGACTGCGACGCGTTTTCTGTGTATGTGCATATCCCGATAACAAGGTATGGGAGAGAAAACAACAAAACCGCCTCGAAAAAAAAATAACAACAAAATATTTGTATGCTTAAACGGACATAAAAGCCAGCGAAAAACCAATAAATGAACTAATAATGTGCCGGAATTGTTTCATCGTTAAACAAAACAGAAATAAACAGGCACTTCACAATGAGCAAAACAAGAACCAATAAACAAAATGTATATCCATGTGATATGATATGTGCACTCAACGATGTGTCGTTGTTTTGTTTTTTTGTTAAATGTTCATTAAAATTTTGATTTTGAAATGGAGTCATCCAATATCAACGACAAAAAAAATTCACTTTGTTTGTAAAAATGCCACAATCCAAACAAAAATGCCACTAATCATTCACACATACACACATACACACACACACTAATTAACTTTTGTCGCGGATCGGATCAAATCAATTGATTTCTATGCGCGAATGAACATCAATAAAAACATCATTTGAACATCATCATCATCAGCAAAAAAATCGATTTACACATTATTCGATTGAATATCGTCAATTGGACAAAACGATCAATCAAAAGGCTATATCAAAATATAAACAAAATCGTAAGGCCAACGAAATCTATCTATCAGCCAGAAAATGCTTCTTTGTGTATATGTGTTGTATTTTGGTTTGGGATGCATGGATTTCGGTGTGTCGGCTATTGAATTTCATTCGAAATATAAAATGGAATTGATGCGGATGAAGGATGCACAACAACACAACACACACGAAAAAATGAACCAAACAAAAAAAAAATATTGACATAGAAGAAGTAAAGTTTATGTTGATTTGTTTCGACGCTATCTTTTTATTATTCTCGTACCTTTTATTTGCGCACCGCGGTCTCTCGACGACAAAATCTCTCTAACAACAGTGTTGAGAATTTTTTTTTCTCGAAAATCGATGTAAAACCACTTGAAATTCGCGGAATCAGGAACTCGTTATATTCATTCAGTTCTCTTTTTTTCGGTTTTCAATTCACACAAAATTCAATTCACTGTTTTTAACTGTCCAATTCTTTTTCGTTTTTTTTTATTCGCATTAAAGTCTTTTGCTTCACACTTCCAAAACAGTCCTACGATTCGATGATAGAATCGTTAATAAAATAAAACACCGCTTTAAAATACAAATTGTCCCAAAGAAAATGCACACACTAAAAATGTATAAATCTCTGTGTCGAAGATTGTAACGACTAGACGTACGAGACGATATTCATACGATATGAAAAAGTCGAGCCTCCGTATTTATGGTTGTAACGCATCAACGTTCCAAACTCTACTAGCTGCATGAAACCGATTCATCGAACTCTCTTTCGGTACGTAAAACGCTTTCTCACAATGTTTACCATCAAACGACGTTGATTGGAACGATTGTGTTCTCTCACTTGGTTTGTATGTATACAGGCACGCACGCACACACATACACACAAACACATGCCTAGCGTTGCGCTCTCGCAGAGAGCGAAGCGAATGTGAGAGAGCACCGTGGCGACCATTTGGAACAAGGAGCGTTGTGATTGTTTTCGTTTTGTTTTTGATTTTCTATGAGCGAGAGAACGGTTATGTGTGTGTGTATGGTTCTCGGGAGAGAAAGCGGACACCGCTTATGCATTTGTATACACATACACACACACACACACACATCGACACCAATACAGTGCATGGAACGAAAACGCACTATCAAATTGCTTTGTCTGTTTCTCGTTCAAATGCCAAAATGTTAAAGTCACATACGCTTCCCGTTCATATTTCCCATTCACAGTTTACCGTCTGTGATTCTTGCCTTACTCACCGTACGTCGAAGGCTATATGGTTGTGTATGTGAAGCATGTATGTGAGTATGTATTGGTCTTCCATCAGGCTCTATCTCCGGCTTTGTGTAGTTTATGAGCATACAGAACGCATTTGGCAACCAACACATGTGTGCAACGAACGCTCCTATCAGACACATGCACGAACAGCACACCAAAAGGAAATGTGGAAAAATTTCGGAATGCATTTCGGCTAAGATTTTTGTTTTTCTTTTTCGTCTTTTTCTTCTCTTCAGCATATATTTTGTGCATTCTTCGAAAACCGATCCTCAATCTCCAACAAATGAGACATTCAACAACAACAACAACAACAGCACACGGGGAAAAAAGAAGAAGAAACGAACCCAAATGAATATCGAATTGTGAGAGAATGACGACGCTATCCTTTGTTACATGTATGAGTAAGAGAGTGGTTATTGTTGTTGCCGTTGTCGCTGTAAAAGCAAAACGTTTTGTTATGGAATTACTGTATTTTGTCGGTAAAATACACATACGCGCATTTTTACTATGATTACGCTTCTTCTCGTATGCACACCATTTTCAGACGGATTTTGTGCTGTTGCCGTTGCCGTTGTTGTTGCTGTTGCTGGTTGTGACTATCTGCGTGCATTTTTCGATGTTAGCGAACTTGTTTACATTGTACGATTACGGTGAGCGAGCAAGAGAATGAGAGAGAGAGAGAGAGAGAGAGAGTCATTTCTGAGGATGCATGCTTTATGGATGATGATGATGCTGCTGCTGCTGCTGCTGCTGCTGCCGTGTTGGCCTTTCGACCGCATTTAATTATAAATGCATTGGAGGAAACGAGCAATCGCCCCGGAAAGTTTTTGATAGTTTCTATACTGCTGCTGGCGCTGGCACTGACACTAGCATTGCATTGGATTTGGTTCGTACGTTGTTTTCGAGCAATCGAAACAAACTTTTTTTTAAGTACTTGATTGAACAACGATGATTTCCAACCGAAGAATGTTTGATAAGACTCTTATCGGTATATGTATAGAGTAAATTTGTTGTCATTGATTGCGATATTGCTAAACAAGATTTGTTTGCTCTCACTTTTATATGATAATGGTGATGCAGCGATTGCTTGAAGATGTTCATCAAATTTAATAAACAATTCGGCGAAATAATTCACCAGCAATAATGAAAATGAAATGAATGGATTTCAAATCGACCAGCAAAAGGGAAATTATAAATTGTGCATTTTGCTTGCACTTTTTAACAAAAAAGAAATGTGAAAAAGCAAGAAATGCTCAATATTTTTCAAAATGCCAACAAAATGCATATTTCCGATCTTCATGCGCCTTCAGTTCAATTGATTACATCACATACTGCAGACATAGCATTGGCGAAGCCGTCTTCAAGTTTCACCTTTTCACCGGGCTGCTCTCCCGACGAGAAATTTGCGGTAAAATAGGTGTACGTCGACTATCCGTCGCATATCCGTTTTTGAGTGCGGATACTCGCAATGCGAATAGGTATCCACAATAAAAGTTGCCGCAAGATCTAATCGCTGAATACCCTGCGACTATTCGCGCTGCGATAAATGTGAAGTTGTAACTGGATCGAGTGTGACATTTCGACTTGAAACTTCGTACAACCAACGTGAAGTTGGCTGTGTTCGACGGACTTTTTCGTATTGCGACTATACGTAGAATAGTCGCAATGCGATATTCCGCAAATTTCTCGTCGGGTCTGTTTCGCTCTTTGTTTGAGCAGCACAACGAAGAAAAATGTGCTCGACCGCCTTTCCATGCCGTTCTCTTGATTTATACACACTGGAGAGATTAATCATTGAACAAAAAGATGAAAAGGACAAGGCGCTATTCCTCGATCGGTTTCATTCAAGATTTATAAGCGATTTTTATTTATTTATTCAACTAGCCTTAATTCATTTTCGTTTTTTGTATTATTTTTTTTATTTTTCCTGTTGTTTTTCGTTCCAGAAAATTATATAGCATTGAGAAGCACGGTGTGTGTATGCTTTTTCTTATGCACATTGCATTTGGTTGAATCGTCCTGGTACTTAAAATTTTTATTGTTCCGATCTCGCAACGAGCCAAGTATCGATGAAAGATGTTTATTGCAATGCGATTGAGAGTTAAGAATAGTAATAAAAACAGCAACAACGATGTCCTTAGCGATGGATACGAAACAGACGGCCCGACGAGTCGATCGACGTGTGATGTGATGTAATGTTGAACTAGTATAAAAAAAAACCACAAAATGCATTGGAATATCGGAGCGAACGTACACCAAATCCATGCATCCTATTGTGTGTTATGTTATTATTGATGATCGATCCTTTGAAACATGTGTTCTTATCTCTGTTTTTCACTCTGCGTGAGTGTGTGTCGGCTGAACCAATTCAATCGTGCTGTGTCTTCGGATGCGAAACACATCAAACTTTCTGTTGTTGTCGATTTTTTCTTTCTCGGTTGGTTCCTTTGTATGCGTTTCATATGCACTTGACTGCACAACAATGCACAAGCCATTCACCCAAAATTAAATATTTTGCCTGTGCATCATCGATTGAAGAGCTGCCGCCGCTCGCCGCCCGCCGTCACTGCCACTGCCGATGACGATGACAACGTCCAACCGTTCTCGTCCATTCAAATCCATTCGAACAGGGATGTGTTGATGGCAAACAAGAGAACAGTCATTTTCACTTGCACCATGACTCGTATCATTTTCTTACATTGTTTCGTTTTGAATGTTTCTCTTTGTATGTCTGTGCACTTCCATTTGATTATATTATTGTAATGCATTAAAATTACGTTCACACGAAATTATTTGGAATTGTGTAGAATATAACATTAGGCTGTAAGTGTGTGGTAAAAAAAAACATTTTCATTCGAGTCCATCCACACACACACAAGCACACACACACACAGATGTGCTGCTCTTTTTATTCGATTTGTTATTTTTCATTTCCTTGAAATTGGTTTTGCAGCCACTCGAGAGAAGAAAAAAAACCACATTTTGTGTCCATTCAATAGATTTGCCACGCTCTAAATACAATTTCGGTTAAGTTTCATTCAGTCGCTTGATTTTCAATGCTATGATATTTCGATTTTTTTTCTCTCTCTCCATATCCTTGTCGCTCTCTTTCTCTTTTTCGCCATGTTCTTGCTCCAGAAATACGGGCGATATTTCACCACATTTTTTCGGCTGTTGCGACTATTGAAACATGATTTTGAAATTTGTTTGCTTCCGAAAATAGGCGGCCAATATGGAATACGGTATACTTGTAGGCGAAATGATGCAGAGATTTGGTCGGCTCTCATACGATATATTGTTAGTTCAACAAACGATTCCTCTGCATTATAATTTCTTTTTCCGATTCCATTTTATTTATAACGTTGAATGTTTCCAATGCATACTGAACTAGTTTTGGTGAATTTCGTAAAATTGATTCCTTTTTTCTGCTCTCGTGCTGTTTTCCAAAGAGCATGCAATTGGATTCTTTTCAATGGATCATTAAAATCTAATTGAAAAATCACAATAAAATCCCCGCACTATTTATCCCTTGGTCTATCCACCTGAAGGACGACGATGGTGCAACTGAAACCATTTCGAAAAGTAAACTGTTTTTCTACCAGTTTCTTTTTCTCGTTTGCCTACTGAATGGCTATCCGTTTGGCAAACAAATTCAATGAAAACACTGAAAGGAAATATTCAAGATTTTTGTACAAAATGCAAAAGAATGAGGAAATTTTGAAGGAAAATATTGAAGAATTTGAAGAAGTAGAAAAAAATAATGTGAAGATTCTCCAACTGCAAAGAAAGCCATCAAAGAGTTTCAATTTTTTGTCTGGATTGATTTTCCATGCAAAATTCATATGTGTGCGTGTTTCTTCTTTCTGTTTCGTTGTCTAAAGTCAAGACTGTCGGTCCATCGGTGTGCTGCCTTAGTATTTTTTTATTTTCAATCTGTAATGTTTTTGGGATTTTTCGATGTGAATGTGTAATATTGTGCACGTTTTTCCTGTTGATCGTTGGCATCATCATCATCATCATCATCATCATCATCATCATCATCATCAACATCGCCATTGCAGACGACGTCGTCGTCGTCGTCGTCGTCGTCGTCGTCAGCCGGCCGATGTGACGTGTATATGCTATATGCTGCGTGTGCATTCACCACCAATAAGTTATGAGTCACGAACTGATATATGTTGAATGGGCGAAAAGTTTCCGAAAAGGAGAGCATTGAATATGGTTTTGATTGAATTGTTTGCGATGAAGACATTCACTTCGTGCCATGCATGAGACGACGACGACGACGATGCCCGGAATTCCGATATCGTTTGTGAAATTGGAAAATGCGGCAAATAAAAGGAAATTCAGAATTGCTTCCATTTTTTCTTCTCTCTCTCTCTCTCTCTCTCTCTCTCTCTCTCTCTCTCTCTCTCT